GTGAGTAACAGGGAGAGGCTGCAGTGTGGGGGGGTGACAGGGGACCTATTAAGAGGGGGGGACCAGCTGTGTCCCCCACAGGAGACCAGGACCCCAGCAGTGTCCCCTCATGTCCCCCTCCCTTCCCGCACAGATCCCGTGACCTAGTGAGAGCCCCTGGGCAGTGGGCAGGAGAGCCCATTCTAAGCCAAGGAGAGTGAGCTGGGCACTGGGATTATGGGGTGGGGGCAGGGCAGGAGGGGAAGATGGGGGCAGGGATGTGGGTAGGGGCAGTGCAGAAGAGGGGAGAGGGAGGCTGGGGGTGGAACCCGGGGGGAAGAGGGGTCTCCTACCGCCTGGCGTCCCTGCCCTGCTCTTGGTGAACCCAGTGCCAGGGTGGGGCAGTAGGTAGCACCTGGTCCCTCTCGCCCTCAGGGCTCCCAACACCAGGGGCTGCTCAGCAGAGGCTGCCAGGTCCTGCGGGAGTTAAACCGACATTTGTGGCCGTCAGCGAGAAATCAGACCCACCATGGAAACATTCAGCTCCGCCCCACAGCCGGAGTTTGCTGTTTCCATGAACACACCTGGTGCCCGGCTCTGGTCATTCATTACCTGTGTGATGTCTTTGAGATACTCCTGCCCCGCGTCTGCGCCGTAGGCTCCGGTGAGCTGCCAATCTCGCACCAACAGGTCCAGGCGCTGCAACAGAGAGCACAGGAGAAGGGTCACACTGGGGTTGGGAGCACAGAGAGGAGACCAGAGCTGGAGGCTGCTGCCGAACCCAGCCACCGACACCGAGATCCTGGGCATGACGTGAGCGTGGAGGGAGAATAATGGGAGCAGGGACTGGCTGTTTGTTCGGGGTTTGACCAGCGCTTGGCACAATGGGGTTCTGGTCTAGGAAGGGGGGCTCTGAGGTGCTCTAGCAATAGAGACAATGAATAATAAGAATCAGGTGGGGGTGATGGGAGTGGGGGGTGGAACCAGCATTGGGTTGATGGGAAACGAGGACTCACCTGGATTGGGGGCAGACTGCAGGTCTCTCCGACCTCCTTCGCAACATGAACGAACATCTGCGATGCAGCGAGAGAGAGACAAGGAATTTTTTTTCCACCTTGAACAAAAGATCCCCCCACAGGTAACTCAAGGTGATCCATCAAGATAGATGGTGCAAAATAAACCCGTGACATAAAGGTCATTGAAACTAAATAAAACCCAAACAACGTTAAGTGAAAACTAATAATTGAAGAGAGAAAATTGATGAAATGAGAGAAAAACATAGTTTCAAATGCTGATAACTCAACACTAGTAATCACAGATTATTAGTTATTCTAATCACTAGTTATTATAAAAGCAATAACTAAACCCAGAAAAGCCAATTGGTGATTATAGAAAAGCAGTCATTGAAGACACAGAAAGCCAATCATGGAACTCAGCAAACCAATAACTAGAGTCAGAAAAGAAATAATCAAAAGCAGAAAACTAGTCATTGAAATCAGAAAACAAGTTACTGAAACCAGAAAAGCAGT